GCAGGGGGAGCCCCCTCTGCCGTGGCAGCTACACACGCTGCAGCCCAGGACCGGGGACCATGGGCCTCGCAGGAGCTGAAGGGAGTTGCCCACACGCTGCAGGTGGTTCTTCTGCCTCGTGAAGGTCAGTGAAAGCTGTGCCCGGAGCCCGCTCTGGCTCCGGAGAGGCCACTGGAGTCGGGGTTGCCTCTTGAGGTCTTTTTTGAACTTGCTCTGAGGCTGGTTCTGTAGATCCCAGAAGAGAACATGTTGCCACCATGACTGCCTCCATGTGCCTTCCAAAGACGGAACATCTCTCCTGTCCATCCATGGAGTCCCAGTGCCAGGGCCACCCCAGGAAGTCTTCCCAGGCTGCAGGCCATGGGGACAGTGATCAGAGCCGGCCCTGCCCCTGGCCTCTGGAAGCTCTTCTCTGTGTGGCCGGGCCCCATCTCCTCCCCACACGCCCACATCACCTCCCCGAGCCCCATCTCCTCCCCACACGCCCACATCACCTCCCCGAGTCCTCCTCGCCCTCCGCATCTGTGGGCTCGTGGCTCTCCAGCTCCGAGTCCTCCTCGCCCTCCGCGTCGGCCGAGTCCTCCTCGCCCTCCACCTCTGTGGGCTCGCAGCGCTCCAGCTCTGAGAGGAGCAGCTGGGCCTGGCGCTCCAGGGCTGAGCCTGGGAAATTGAGCTCCAGGTAGGCCAGCAGCGTCACCAGGCCCGGAAAGTCTGGGGGCTGGAAAAAGTCCTGAGGGAACTGGTCCAGCCACATGCCCAGGATGGAGATGATGGCCCTGGGGAGAGACGTGGGCAGCAGAGTCTGAGCCTGGCCTCTCCTTCCACACTAACCTCCGCAGGATCCCTGTGGGGGCCTGGGGGCCTGTGCCTCCTGCTCCTGCCCCCCTTCAATCCGGCAGAGGTACACCTGGCCACCAAGGAGGGGCTGGCTGAAGCCTTCGTAACCGAGAGCTCTTGATCAATAGTGAGACTACCTGGCCTCAGGGAGCCTGACAGTCAGTGTCCCTGCCCCCTTCCCACCGGAATGTCAACTCCATGGGGGCAGGAAAGGGTGGTGTCTGCTCTGCTCATTGCCCTCATTGGCGCACAGTAGGGGCTCCATAAATATCTGATCAGTAGGAGAACAAAAGGTCTCTGTTTCCAGCCCTGGCCTCTTAGAGATGTCCTGGCACCTCAGACTTTAGCTCCTGCACCGACATGCTGCTAATTCACTAGGTGCCCCGTGTGCTGCTTCTCCTCCCACTGACACTCAACTCCCACAGATGGGGAGCACCAGCCAAGCACTCACTGTGGAGGTTCTGCCAGATGAGTGAGCAGGGTGCCCCCCACACCCCTTGTTCTGGGTCCCAGGGTGGGGGAGTGGATGCAGAGCTGGGTGGGGAGGGGATGAGGATGGATTTTCTGAGGGGCTGACTCTGTCCACTACAGAGAACCCTAATGAAATCTCCAATCTCCTTTTCAAATGAAAAAAACAGCTCAGCCTAAGGCCCCGAGGAAAGTGAGGGACAAGGCAGAGGCTTCGTCATGAGGAAGAGAAAATGACCAATTAGCACAACCACCACCCCTCCCGCAGACCTCTCCAATGGCCAGGCCCCCAGAGAGCACATTACAGGGAGGACCCCACCAGGTTTCTATAAAAATCCTATGAGTTTGCTCCTGGGTTTACCCCGCTGTTCAGAGGAGCACACAGACTCAGGGCGCTGCAGTGACCTTCTGAAGACTCACAGCTAGCAAGTGCCCGGATGACCACTGTGCTGTGGAGGGGCAGGTGCTCACCTTGTCAACAGTAGGTCCAACACCTGTTGGGTGGTGGCGAAAGCTCTGTAGTTCCAGAGAAAGGTGGGGACGAAGGTGGGGTCCCTGCCCAGGAAGGCAGGCACCAGGTACTCCACCAGCTTGGCCAGCCGGTGTGCCCGGGCGGTCGGCGCCATACAGAGCTTATCTGTGTTCCCGGTTGATGCGGTTTGCCCCTGGGGTGGGACAGAGGAGGGACACGCAGTCAAAACAGCATCATGGACCACCAGGTGGGTTGGCAGCTGCAGCTCAGACCTAACCCACAAGCCCTCAGTGACTGGTGGCAAGGGGGGACACCAATGCTTGCAGGAGGGAAAATGTTCTTGCCATGAAAAGTAGAATTGCCCCTGGCTGGTATGCTCAGTCATTAGAGTGCCCCTCCGCCTCTCCAAAATCTCTCAGTTCAGTTTGGTCAAGGGCACCTACTGGGTTGCGCATTTGCTTCCCGTGCCCCCTGTCGGTCAGGGCTTGTGTGGGAGGCAACCAGTTGATGTGTCTCTCTCACATCATTGTTTCTCTCTCTCCCCCCTCCCTTCCTCTCTTCCACTTTCTCTGAAAAGCAATGAAAAAAATATCCTCAGGTGAGTATTAACAGCAGCAAAGTAGAACTGGAGGTGTGGGACAATGAAGCACATTAGTATCTTAGGTCATATTTTGCTAGCTGGGGATGGACAGCACGTCCCTGTGTTAACGGTGTCATCCCTGGGATTTCTGACAGAGCACCCCATGCTAAGATGAGAACACAGAGGCTTTTCATGGGGTGGGAGGGGCCAGGATATTAGGACATGTGAGATGTTCAGGGCAGCACTGTTGACATGGCAACAGAAGGGGATCACTCCAGGCCCCACAGCAGTGCAGGGCTGGATCGCCATGGTAACTGGTCCCCCTCGGGGTATGATATACAGCCCTGGGAGACCCCAGCTCCTGCCCTGGAGGGGGCACCAGGAAA